GTGTCTGTGGAAATGTGTGCCCAGTTCCAACACCAGTTAGCCCCATTCCCTGCTGTTTGGTAACTGGGGATGTAGCAAGTGTAGAAAAATAAATTCCCAAACATCTACATCCTTTTTGTCCATCACATACAGAGAAATCCCGATGTATCAGTGTGAAGGAGTTCCCCACAGCCACCAATCAAATTATAAATGAACCTTCAAGTTTTGGGTTGTTGGCATTTAAAACCCAGCTGCAAGCCATTGGGCATACCTGGACAGTGCCTGCAAGAGCAGCCTCATTCATTGCCCCTTTAATCACACCAATGGGGGACAAGCACCAACTTACCAGTAGATGCCTTTACTGCACTATGACCTATAACAGGAATAATAAAAGCATTGCATATTCACAGGCTAACCATGTACATGTAGACCCCTCCTAGTTATCTAGCGGGAGCTAGCTGATTATTTTTCAGTTAGAAAGATTGAATAGCAACCTGGGCAATAGTCAACCGGGTCAAATTTTGGTCAGGGCTGAGAGGCTCTATATTTCAGTTCCTTGATACTTCCCCTGCTCTGGAATCTTAGAGAAGATTTTAGAAGCGGTGGGTGGGGATGAGGATGGGCTGGTCTGCATACTCAAGGGGCTCTGGCCAATCCCCAGGCAGAAGGCTTAGTATGGGACCAGAGCAGGCCTTAAGTGTGAATGAGCCTGCTCTGCAGCAGGAGAGTCCGTGTGGAAGATGTGAGGAAGGCTGAAATGCAGGAGCTTGGGAGAGTTGCCAATGGGAAGGGGCCCAACTAAAGACAGGGTCCTGGAAAGAAGGATAACTCTGCCTCACTGTCCCCCAGAGCAAGGACCACCTGTAGAGCCAAGAAAGAAGCCAGCCAGCGGAAGGCCTGAAGGCAGCTACCTACCTAAATCTGCTTGCAGGACAGAGATTGAGTGAGTAGTCCTAAACTCCCTGGGCCAGTTAAGGGAAAAAAAACCTTCTGGTGGGAAACCTGATTAGCCCCTTACCTGGGAATTTATCATTTAAAGTGGCCACTGGATTCCCTTGCCCAGGGATTCCCTCAGGCAAATGGATAAGAAGAGTATTACCTGGGGTCTGGGGTGGTACACCCTGGGGTGTATTTACCACAAGGCAAACAATGCATTTGCTTACAGTGGCATTTTTCAGGGGGACAGTGCTGTCCTCTGAAAGAAGGATGGAAGAAGGGACACACCGAGCACGGGGACCAGGTGGGATCTGAGAGAGGCTGTGGGCTGTATGAAGAACCTGACTCTTGCTCCCTGGGATGTCCTGAGTTGTGAAGGTGGGTGTCTTCTCTCTTGCCAAGGTGGGGTTGCCAGTGTATGGGGGGGGAGGTGGTAGTGGAAGGCTCTCTTAGGTGGGGGGGGCTGGGGTGTTGTTGGTCAATGTTAGGCTCTTTTCATGGGGGAGGGGGGTGTTGGTCGGTGTCAGGGTCTCTCGTGGGGGGGCAATTGTGTTGCCTAGGGCAGCACGAAACCTGAATACACCACTGGGTGCACCAGGAGGCTGGAGAGCTTTCCAAGAAAAGTTCCTGCTGTGTAAAGACGTGTATATAGTTGCTAAGGAGTTTGTCCTCGGCTTTGCAGTTCCGTTGGGCATCCCATACACCCCTCACCCCCATCCAAGCTCAACACCGCTTAATAAAACATAAAATGGAACTCTGAATGGAAGTCTGCCTGACTGTGCAGGACTATAGGGGGACCCAAATCTTCAGCAACTCCTAAGTGCTGCATACAGTACCGTGGCCCTGACTAATTCCACCATGCCCAAGATGTTGGGGATCCTTTAGTTCAACACCTTGTGGCCTGTCTGATATCCTCCATCCAACACACTTGTAGTTATAAACAGTCTATTTCACTTCACCTCAACCTAGTCCTTAGCCTTCAGCCTGACTCCTCACCCTATTCCCCAAAAATCACATATCGCCTTTAGAAGGTTCTAGAAACAGATCTATGGGTAGTAAGTGAAGGTCTTACCCCTGAAGGAGCCATTGTTTCTCGGGTCCCCATGTTTCTGTGCCCATGACTCTGCAAACAGCACCAAGCACCCTGACACACCTGGCTGGAACGGGGAATATTTATTGCAGATGTTTATGCAGTACCCTGGTGGCAAAAGAGATATGAGCAACAGTAATGACAACAAATGGTTAAAGAATAGCGAGAAATAGACTGCAAAGGGTGAATAGTATCAAGAAATATACTGTAAAAACAAACAAATTGCATAGAGCTACCCTAAACCCTATACTGGGGCAGTTCTAACTCGGGAGAGCTATGCCACCATAACAGTCAGCAGTCTGTAATGTACCCTCTCTCTTCTGCTGGCCAACTCGTTGGGGCCCAACTCTCATGTCAGATTCCTCAGAATAATGTTCCCTGAAGCACTGACTGTGTAATGCTCGCAGGAAACAGTGTTCCTCTTTGTTAACTTGTAATGGGATTTGGCCAGCGGCCTCTCACCAACTCCTGTGGTAGCAGGTTATCTCCTTCTGTGTCAGGGTCTTGTCCACGGAAGAAGTTCTGGAAGATCTGGCATTTCTCCCAGTACTCTGCATGGCCGCAGAAGTACACACCAGCCTCAGTCTGGTGCCAGACGGCCTTTATAAGGAGGCTCATCACTTCCTCTAGTTGCTGGATGATCTCTAGCTCCCCGTGCCCTGTTCCTGGTTCCTGTTTCCTGTGATTCTGACTTGTGATTTCCTGTTACCGACTCGGCTTTGCCCCTGGACCTGTCTGCTCTGCTTTACCCCTGATCTGACCTCAGCCTGGGTTACGGATACTCTCTCTCCTCTGTGTATGACCTTGGCTATCCCATCTGACTACATCTGCTCTGATTCCCACCTGGTACCGAAGGGACCTTGGCTTGAACAGACTACCCAGTGAACATCCAAATCCCGGAAGGGCTTGCATACCACGCACAGGTGCCTCCTGTCTGCAGACCTATCTCCGTACATCAGCTGTGCTTCTGAGTGGACCACCAACCAGCATTCCTACAGGTGACCTGTGCCACTTTGGGCCAGACTCCCGCTGTCCCACTCTCAGGGGAGTCCGGAACTTAGCCGCAAGGGAAGCCCTCTCTCCATTGGCCTCCATCACCAGCTACATGATATTCTGTTTACTGTTGGCAGTACAACTGGTCAGTGTCCTCAGTGTTCTTCCCCCAGGCGGTGGGCTTCGTCAGCATCTGTGGTGGTCTGTCTCCCTTTCAGGCGTGGTGGTGTGTGGTCTGCTGGCAGCCTCAGTCCCTCAAATGTCCTTCATTTTCTCCTCAGCCCCTAGAACAATAAGCTCCTCCCCCTTTTCTTCTCTGCCCAGGGATCTAGTCCTGCTGGGATCTGCAGTTTCTTTTTCTCAGTTCATAAAGCAACTTATCCTGTTTGGAATTACTTTCCCCACAATCTTTCTTTTTTTCCCAGCGTAGCACCACCCTTGTAAGAATTGCAAAGTATTTGGGTCCCCCTATAGTCCTGCACAGCCAGGTAACAGGCATTTTCACACAGACTTGCATCCAGGAGTCAGTAACCAGTCCTTGAGCTTCGTTTTGAGGTTTGATTAAGGGCTTTGAACTGGGATAGGGTTAGGGATGTATGGGATGCCCAATGGAACTGCGAAACCGAGGAGAAATTCCTGAACTATGTACAAGCCTTTACACAGAAATCCTCTTCTTGGAGAGCTAGCCAGAATCTCCAGTTGTACCACCCCAGACTCCAGATTCTCCCAATACAGCTGCTCAGAGGGTATCCCTGAACAGGGGATCCAGTCCTGCCACTTTATAGTAAGACAGTCCCAGGTAGTTGCTAATCTGGTTTCCCACCAGAGTGCTCCTTCCCCTATCTGGCCCAGAGGGTGCAGGTTTGCTCACTCAGTCCTTCTCCTGTGTTGCTGATGGGTTGGTGGCTGCTATCAGGCCTTCCAGCTGGGCCACTCCTTCCCTGCCTCACAGGTGGTCCTCTCTCAGGGGCTACTGAAGTCCAAAGCTTTCAACCTTTCAAGGTCCTCTGCCTGTAGGTGAGCCTCTCTCTATCTGGGCCCCCTCACAGACTCCTGCCTCCAGCCTCACAACCTCCTTATTTTCCACCCGAACTCTCCCTCTGCTGAGCAGGCCTGGTTACTCTTAAAGGCTGCCCCAGCCCCTTGCCAAGCCTTCTGTTGTGGATTGGCCAGGATCTTCTAAGGGTACAGACCAGCCACTCCTCAGATCCACCCACTGCTTCTAGACCTTTCTCTAAAGTCCTAGAGCAGGGGGAAAGTCTAGAGGGCTGGTCTGCAGAGCCTCTCAGCTCTGACCCAAATTTGAACCCTGCTAGCTATCACACCAAGTCTGCTACTCAGCCTTCCTTTCTAACAATCGAACTTGAGCTCCCCCTAGCTAATTAAGGGGGTGCTACACTAGCATTAACAGGGATTCAAGCAGTCCACATTCCTCTGTGTGGTGGGTGAACCCAACAGGGGACACAAATTCTGTAATCACAGTCTTCAGTTTCAGCTGTGCCTGACTCCCTGTTACCACAAGCAAGGACAGCAGTAGTCCAATGAAAGTGCAACTGCCCCTCCCAGTTGTGGATCGGGGCCACACAAATCAACAGTCAACACAACATAACGGATAATTCTCACATACAGATGTTCATGTCATCGAATAATTAGTGTGCAGATGTCCATCTGAGATTCCTAAGAGGTTGATTTTTTTTTGGGAGGGGGCACCATAGACCTCACAGGTAATTTGGGTTTACTTTTTCTTTTTTTTTGTTTCATGCAAACCTATGCAGAATTATACAACTATGAATTGTTTTTCATTTTGCGACAGAAACCAGAAATTTTCCATGAATTGATGATAAGCCATGCCTGAAGCCAACTCTTCCAACCAGCTTCCAGCCTACTTCATCCTACTAGGCATCCCGGGTCTGGAGAGCTCTTACTTTTACATCGCCTTCATCTTCACCATAGTCTACGTGATATCTGTGATTGGAAATCTGACTCTTCTTTACATCATCAGGATAGATCGGAGTCTCCATGAACCCATGTACTTCTTTCTCTGTATGTTGTCTTCTATTGACCTGGTCCTGTCCAACTCCACCACGCCCAAGATGTTGGGGATCCTTTGGTCCAACAACCACAAGATTTACTTTGAGGCCTGCCTCACACAAATGTTCTTCCTCCATTCTTTTGCTATAATGGAGTCTGCGCTACTCTTAGCCATGTCCTTTGATAGGTATATTGCCATTTGTCAGCCCTTAAGATACAATGCAATATTAACAACATTTCTCATTACCAACATCGGACTGTTGGCCATCAGTAGAGCTGTAGCACTAATGGCTCCATTACCGTTCCTTATAAAAAGACTACCCTTCTGCTCTGCCAATGTCATCCACCATTCCTACTGTGAGCACATGGCTGTTGTGAAGCTGGCATGTGTTGATACCACCTTCAACAACATCTACGGCCTTGTGGTGGCCCTTGTTATTGTGGGGTTAGACCTGGTCTTCATCATCTGGTCCTATATCCTGATTCTTCAGGCTGTGTTCCGGCTGGCCTCAACAGAAGCCCGGTATAAGGCCCTCAGTACATGTGCAGCTCATATTTGTGCAATCCTTTCATTCTACGTTCCTGTTGTCCTTTCCTCGGTGGTCCACCGCTTCGGGAAAGATGTCCCACTCCACATTCACATCTTGTTGGCCAACGTCTACCTGATGCTGCCACCTCTGATTAACCCCATCGTGTACGGGGTGAGGACCAAACAAATTCGGAATAGAATTAGGTCTGCCATTAAAGTGGATTTTACATGTTTTATAAGAGTCCATGCTGACCAAAATACAAGTAAAAGTAAGCAACCTCCAAAACGGAAGCAGAATCAACACCTAACACAAGACAGTCCTTCCATGCTGTACAGAAGATGAGATTCATTGTATGCAAACTATTGTATTATGATCTGAATCAAAGAGATTGTTAGGGGTTTTCTCTTTCGATTTTGTAAATGATTTATTTTAAGGTTTTTCCTTTCAAAAGCCGCACTCATTATGTTGTTTGTCTTGAAACAATGCACATTTATAAACAAAAAAAAAACAAAAAATGTCTGAAATCAATTCAGAAGTTTTTAGTAGACCTGATTATCTGGAGCACAAGGCCCAGGTTTTCTATGGGTGTCCCAAGTCAGAGAGACTCAGCATATAGGCAGGTGCAGTCTACAGTCTCCATCCGCAGTGGCAATGCAACTGGAGGAGGAAGTTGGAAGACACTGGGTTTTCTCTATGGTTTGCTCGGTCTTGGTGGAACCCTGAACCTGGACTATAGTAAGCGAACCATCCAGTAAATGGAAGTTCATACATGACTAAAAAGGTATAAGACACCACAGCATTACCCTGAAGAGTTTTGCTAAAAGTTAAAGCAGAACATTACAAAAAATGGCCACTGCCCCGGTCTATAACTGGCCTTCACAGCATGGAGAACATGGAAGTAGCGGCATGTCAAAGAATTAATGAGAAAATATTCCTGGGTCAACTTACCAACCAGCCTGCAAACAAACCGAATTGCCATGTCTAATAGTATGCGTTGAAAGCAGGGTTTATTTAGCACACATTTCCAAACACATGCGTAAGCTGCAGAGCCTCTTCAAGGCCTCTACTATGGGAAGCTCTCAAAATTTGACCCTGACCTTGCTTTGGCTCTCTTCCTGACTCTCTACCTTGGCTTGATCCTGACCTTGATCCTGACCTTGATCCTTTCTACTGCTCTGTGTATGACCTCGGCTTGATCCTGACCTTGCTCCTGTCTGCTGCTCTGTGTATGACCTCGGCTTGATCCTGACCTTGCTCCTGTCTGCTGCTCTGTGTATGACCTCGGCTTGATCCTGACTTTGTTCCTGTCTGCTGCTCTGTGTATGACCTCGGCTTGATCCTGACCTTGTTCCTGTCTGATGTTCTGTGTATGACCCCGGCTTGATCCTGACCTCGCTCCTGTCTCCTGCTCTGCGTATGACCTCGGCTTGATCCTGACCTTGCTCCTGTCTGCTGCTCTGCGTACGACCTCGGCTTGATCCTGACCTTGCTCCTGTCTGCTGCTCTGCGTACGACCCCGGTTTTGATCCTGACCTTGCTCCTGTCTGCTGCTCTGTGTATGATCCCGGCTTGATCCTGACCTCGCTCCTGTCTGCTGCTCTGTGTATGACCCCGGCTTGATCCTGACCTCGCTCCTGTCTGCTGCTCTGTGTACGACCCCGGCTTGATCCTGACCTTGTTCCTGTCTGCTGCTCTGCGTACGACCCCGGCTTGATCCTGACCTTGCTCCTGTCTGCTGCTCTGTGTATGATCCCGGCTTGATCCTGACCTTGCTCCTGTCTGCTGCTCTGTGTATGACCTTGGCTTGATCCTGACCTCGCTCCTGTCTGCTGCTCTGTGTATGACCCCGGCTTGATCCTGACCTTGCTCCTGTCTGCTGCTCTGTGTATGATCCGGCTTGATCCTGACCTTGCTCCTGTCTGCTGCTCTGTGTATGACCTCGGCTTGATCCTGACCTTGCTCCTGTCTGCTGCTCTGTGTATGACCTCGGCTTGATCCTGACCTTGCTCCTGTCTGCTGCTCTGTGTATGACCCCGGGTTGATCCTGACCTTCCCTCCTGTCTGCTGCTCTGTGTATGACCCGGCTTGATCCTGACCTTGTTCCTGTCTGCTGCTCTGTGTATGACCTCGGCTTGATCCTGACCTTGCTCCTGTCTGCTGCTCTGTACGACCCCGGTGATCCTGACCTTCCCGCTGCTCTGTGTATGATCCCCTTGATCCTGACCTCGCTCCTGTCTGCTGCTCTGTGTACGACCCGGCTTGATCCTGACCTTGTCCTGTCTGCTGCTCTGCGTGACCCCGGCTTGATCCTGACCTTGCTCCTGTCTGCTGCTCTGTGTATGACCCGGCTTGATCCTGACCTTGCTCCTGTCTGCTGCTCTGTGTATGACCCGGCTTGATCCTGACCTTGCTCCTGTCTGCTGCTCTGTGTATGACCTCGGCTTGATCCTGACCTTGCTCCTGTCTACTGCTCTGTGTATGACCTCGGCTTGATCCTGACCTGCTCCTGTCTGCTGCTCTGTGTATGACCCCGGCTTGATCCTGACCTTGCTCCTGTCTGCTGCTCTGTGTATGACCTCGGCTTGATCCTGACCTTGCTCCTGTCTACTGCTCTGTGTATGACCTCGGCTTGATCCTGACCTTGCTCCTGTCTGCTGCTCTGTGTATGACCTCGGCTTGATCCTGACCTTGCTCCTGTCTGCTGCTCTGTGTATGACCTCGGCTTGATCCTGACCTTGCTCCTGTCTGCTGCTCTGTGTATGACCTCGGCTTGATCCTGACCTCCTGTCTGCTGCTCTGTGTATGACCTCGGCTTGATCCTGACCTCGCTCCTGTCTACTGCTCTGTGTATGACCTCGGCTTGATCCTGACCTTGATCCCTGCTCTTGCTGTCTGCTGCTCCTGTCTGCTGTCCCGTATATGACCTCGGCTTGATCCTGACCTTGCTCCTGTCTGCTGCTCTGTGTATGACCTCGGTGATCATGACCTCTCTGTCTACTGCTCTGTGTTGACCTCGGCTTGATCCCTTGATCCTGTCTGCTGCTTTGTGTGTGATCTTGGCTTGATCTTGACCTCGCTCCTGTCTGCTGTCCCGTATATGACCTCGGCTTGATCCTGACCTTGCTTCTGTCTGCTGCTCGGTGTATGACCTCGGCTTGATCCTGACCTTGATCCTGTCTGCTGCTTTGTGTATGATCTCGGCTTGATCCTGACCTTGCTCCTGTCTGCTGCTCCGTGTATGACCCTGGCTTGATCTTGACCTCGCTCCTGTCTGCTACCTCGGCTTGATCCTGACCTTGCTTCTGTCTGCTGTTCTGTATTGACCCTGGCTCTGGCTACCGACTACTCTACTCATCTTCGGGATCCACGAGTCCTCTGGAGAAACTCCTCCTGCATCCGGAGCACCCACTGGTTCCATCCAATCAGGTAACACCACTGGCAACCCATGCTTCTTTGGGAACTGCACCTCCTGTCTCCACCTCCAGGGGTGCACTGCACTCAGCCATAAGGGGAGCCCTCTTTCTACTTTAGCCTCTGGTCAGGTACGTGACAGAGACGATGGTGGCCGATGACAGAGGTTGCGTTAGAGGGGTGGATTGGTGGCTGTATGGCCTACATGTCCAGCAGCAGGGACCTCAGTTTGGGGCCCGCTGCATAGCAGAACTCTCCTATGGACTGGTCCTGGACCACGAGTGTGCGAGGCCTTGCGAAGTATACAGCAGTTTCTTTCCAAGCCCTTGGTGCAAAAGAGTAGAATGTAATTGTCATGTGTGTATGGTGGAGGGAGATCAGCGTTCTAAGTTGTTTCCATCAAAACAGCTTTGTGGTCAGTGCTGGGACAGGTGCCACTGTTGGGAAAAAGGACACTATCCTTCTGGTGTAGGGCCCGGTATAGCAGGTTGGCCTCCAACCAAAAGAGGGTGTTAACTCACACGCTAAATGGTGTTATCAACACTCAAAAAAAATCAGTAAACAGTGGTATCATGTGGTTCCCCCATGCTACCGACCAACACTTGGCATAGTCAGCAGGATACACCGTATTGGAGGATTCATTGTAATGAGAGGGAATGTCCACAATGTGAGCAGGAGCATGGCCAAAAGTGGGACCAACAGTATGACCAATGCATGAACAGATGATGTCATCTCTTGTGATTGGCTGTTGCAACATGGACAGCTATACAAAATGTTGTGGTGTGGATGTCTTATGGGCTCCATGTGGTTAGAGGGGAACCGGAGGCTACACCACCATGTTTCAACAACTACCATGGAAACTTCCCTGGCTGGACCCAACTCCATTGCCTGAAGGACTTTACACCAGCTTTCACTTCAGAGCCAGGCTTTGCCATGTATCTGGCAAAATGCTGGAGGGTATGCAGAAAGGTAGATGCTTTGGCGCAGTGTACTGGTTGAAAGACATTTTTATTGGAGGCCATGGACCTTG